ACCAAAGACGCGACTCATAAAATTAAGAGCACTTAAAATCGGAGTCACGCAAGTGATGCTCGACGCCAGCGTCAAGTGGCTGTGGTTAATGAGAGAATATTTTTGCTGTTGAAGGGGTCCAACGTGGATTGGCACTTGTTCACCATTATTATCCTCATTCCTATTGCATGACCTTAGTGTAAAGAGACACGGCTCTCAGCACAGGTTTCGTTACAATTCACTTTTGACTTTACAACGATTGATTATATTGGTGACATGGACGCAACTAGTGAATTCATTGGCATGATCGCATTGGCTCATGATGCAGAAGGGAGCTATCGCTATTGCTCAAAATTGTGTTGAGCATGATACTATCTAATCAATTACGCACTTCGCCACTGTTTCAAAATTCATGTGACCAATTCATGATACTATGCAAAGGACATGTGTATGAAAAGCAAGTCCGTTTACTCGCTGATAAAAAACTATCCTTCTTTAGCATAGGCGATCAGCCGTAGTACACATGCTGCAGCACATTTTGCTGTACTTTCTGTGCTACCTTCAAGTTGATTACGCGTTTGAGATTGTAACTTGCCCTGCGCACATTCTTGAAGACCAATGAGACGTGAGCATGCCGTTTCAGGTCTGAAGATACTGGTGCCAAGATTTACCTCTTTTTCAGATACTGTAGCTCAACTTTTATTTTCATGTTCACATCGCTCAGTAGCTGACGAACCGTACAACCGTACAACGAATGCCCTGCATTATGAATCTACGTTCGGCCGGCTTTTAAGCATTCACAGCGAGGTCCAGATAGGAAGCTAACTCTTCTACTTTGCTCCCTGCAGCGCGTTAGACATTGACATCGCCCACAGTTCTGATATATGCAATGAATGCCAGATCACCGGCAACTTTAATGCCTACTACAACATCTACTGTGAAATAGGTATTGGTGCACAAGTTAAAAAACTGAGGTGCAATGACTGAACACTGCATTACTCCCAGGTTGTGGCAATGCACTCAGACACTTTGTCTGCAACAGCAACACGCCGTGATCATGCTGCAAAATTATCACTTAGCCGGACGAAAAGGTTTGACTCCACGAGAAGAGTATCTGCGAAGTTTAAGTGTCTATCCCGCCCTCTCATGATGAACGCAGAAGAGAGGTAGAGAAATATTGTCCCTCCTCCACGCTTTCCTCGGTCAAGAATGCTCGTCAAGAGTTTCATCAATCTCTTGATGAAAGCGCTTTGCTGCGCTTTGTATCGCCTGGTCGAATTGGAACTCGATCTTATCACGCAAATTACTGTGAATGATTTGTTCCATACATTTCAGCGGTACGGATTGCGAGAAGATTGGTCTGTAATGGTTACGCGAGGCGGAATTAGCCACACTCGGGAGAGGTGAAACTTTGATGATATTCTACGAAGCCGGTTCCTTCCCCAGCTGTAAGGATTTCTGCAACAGGCTTACAAAAGGCATATTAAGCTCAGTCGCACATACTTTCTGTAGTCCTGCCGCTACACAATCGAGGCCTTGATGAGAGAGATAGTGATGGATTTCTTTTCGGCAAACTGGAGTTTCTTTTTTCGTATTGGTTACAGATCAGGCGGAATCTTATTGAAATTCAATAGAAGACAGTTACCATCTTCAAATCTTCAAAAATGGCAGTTTAGAGTGTTGTAGATGGTAATGACACCGACTAACCGCTGTCGAGTTTGTATCCGCTGATCTATCTAATTGTTTTCCACTTGTCACGTAATGATATGGAGACATTGGCGATGGCTTCTGAGGATTTCTCTTTCACCTAGAACAGCTCTTGTCAAATGGATCAAATGGATACCATCAAGCGCTTTGCTTCTACCCAGAGCTTGTCTTTGCATACCTGTTCTTCGCGACGACGCAAACCTGGGGATTCTCTCGATATTAAGCCCTGATTTGTTCTTCTGAAGTGTTCTACGGAACCACATAAGTCAAATATAAACTTGGCACGACCGATTATCGAATTTGTGTAAACACGATGTATGTCGTTTTCCCAAACGGCTGTTTCGAAACCATGTCGCATTTGGCAAAGGTTAAATGGGTCAAGATTTCGTTTCTTAGATGTTTCAGATGTGAAAGGGATCCGCGAAACTCCGCCACTGCCAGTAACAAGCCCGGTTGAAAAAGGAGGAGGGTCGGACACCGTGGCAAGTCTCCGTAAAATTCAGCCACCTGCCACTCATGGTATTGACGCCATCGAAAATTATACCG